TAGCAGCAATGATCTCAGCAGTAAAATAGAAAAAGTGAACGATGATTTAATTAAGGAAAATCATGTTTTAAAACACAAAATAAAAACTCTTGAAGACAAAAATCAAGATTAAGAATTAAAAATAAATGTTTTAGAAAATAAGGCTAGGAAAAATAATCTTATCATATATGGGCTTCCAAATAAAACTGAGTTGAAAGGAGAAAACTTAGTGAGATGGGTAGTGGATAAACTTAAAAACCTGTTGGAAGTAGACCTTAATGCTAATGAAATAAATAATACGTACTATTTGGGCAGACCAGAAACCGAAAAAAAACCACTTTTAGTTGAATTAACAACTTACATTAAAAAGGACATCTTGCTTAAAAACGCCCGCAAACTAAAAGGAAAATCTGTCTTTTTATCGAACGATCTAACTAAGGCTGAAAGAGAGATTAATAAAGTTCTATATAGTAACCTTAAAGAAGCTAGAAAACTTGGACTTACGGCCTTCATTAAAAAAAAACAATTTACATGTGGGAAACGATATTTACACATACGAAGATCTGTTACAAAGTGATATTTTCAAATCGACATCTGGTGATTTAGACGAAGATGTTTTTTATGGGCCGCCTCCGAGGCGCTCTGTAAGCGTCCCAGGTTTATCTGCGTTATCCCTGACGGAAGATGATTCGAACGACTTTTTCGTAGCAGTAGACGATATCCCCTGAACAAGTAGCCGCGACACCAATTGAAGAGCATAAACCAGCAGATCTGCAAGAAAATACAAAAACAGGAACAGACGATAAAAAAGGAGACAAACAAGACCCAAGAAGAAAAGTAATAACCAGAAATCCTGCTGCGGTAGATACTCCTCCTACGAAGGCAACTCGATCATCTAGTCGCTCAACTCGACAAAAGTAATTTAGTAAAATTTCGTATGTATGCTACTTATTGACATTCATATTCATATAATATTATATATAGTGTTTGTGGCAACGTTTCTAAATAAAACATGAATGAATATATAAAGAAATTTACTCCTACAAATCATGAATGCTTGACAATTAACAACGTTAAAGATTATCAAAAAAAAGCTAAAAAGTTTAAACATTCACTAAAACTATTCCATATTAATGTTTGTAGCATTGCAAAAAATTTAGACGAACTTCTTATATTTATCAAAGGATTAGATGAACAGTTTGACGTTATTGTGCTAACTGAAACATTTATAATTTATGATCCAAGTCAATTTCACATTCCAGATTACGATTTTATTTACAATGATAGTAGGTTAAATAGAAACGATGGTACAGTAGTTTTTATCAGGTCAGATATTCGTTATGCTTCTAGAATATGCAATATTGGGCTTACACTGGGCATTGAACTGAACTTTAGCATAAATCAAACTGAATTTGATTTAACTGCACTGTATAGATCGCATGAGATTAACTGCTTAAATTTCATAGAGAGTCTGGATGATTACCTACAAGAAAAACCAATAAAAACTTGTCAAATTATTATTGGAGAGTTCAATGTTGACATTTTGAAGCAAACCAATGTCTCAGATGAATACCTTAATTGTATGTATGCCAACGGGTTCCTGCCATACATAAATAAAATAACAAGGGTCAGAGGTGATCAGTGTTCTTGCCTGGATCATATATTTCTAAAATCAAACAAGAAATAGCTAAAAATAGAGTCCATCATTTTCGAACACAATTTAACAGACCATTTTCCAATTATGGCTTTTATAGAATCTGAAAAAAGGCAAAAACGTTCTTTATAAAAGACTTTTAAAAAAATTTACACAAATTACAAGGAAGTGATTAACAAACTGCAAGCTCCTGAAACGTGGAACAATTTTTATAGAACCCAGAATTTAGAGAGCGCGGCAGAAATTCTGATTGAAAAAATTAAATCAACAACTGAGGCTTGCACAAAAACAGTTACTTCTAAAATAAAATCTGAAAACTGGATGACAAAGACATTGATAAATGCTGTCTCCCAAAAAAATAAAATGTACACACAAGTAAAGTTACAGCCGGAGAACAAAGAACTGCATAACAATTATAAAAAATATAAAAATAATTTAACAAACGAAATAAACAACGCTAAAAAGCGGTATTACGAAAAACAGGTGAAAAACGCCACAAATTCCTCTCAAAGGCTATGGAAAATGACGAACAACATAACAAATAACAACAAAAAAACAGATCTAGATATGAAACAAATAATAGTAAATAATAACACAACATACACAAATACAACAGACATTGTAGAAGCTTTCAATAAACACTACTCTGAACTTGAAGAAATCTATGCAAAAAAAATAAAACCCCCACATATGACACCAGAGGAACAACCCAAGACTTTAAATTCAATTTTTTTAACCCCAACCACACCCACAGAAATTCAAAACCTTATAAAAAAACTAAAATCAAAAAAAACTCCAGGACATGACCAAATTAGAGCGGAATCTTTAAAAAATATATCACAAGTAATATCGCCACATCTGTCCTTCTTAATAAACGAATGCTTTGCAACTGGATATTTTCCTAAAATCTTAAAAATTGGGATTATTAGACCAATATATAAAGGAGGGGACAAAAAGCATATCATAAATTATAGACCTATAACTCTCATTTCATCTGTTGCAAAGGTCTTCGAAATGGCAATAAAGGAACGACTTATTGGTTTTCTTGAAAAACATAAACTACTCTCGGAAAAACAGTTTGGTTTCAGAGCTGGCAGATCGACTGAGGATGCAATAGTGAATTTAACTAAAAAAATTAATGATTCATTAGGCAACAAAAAACCTTCACTTTGCATATTCGTCGATCTTGCCAAAGCGTTTGATACGGTGGATCATGCAAGGCTTGTCAGGAAACTGGAACGGATTGGACTTAGAGGATCGTGCCTTGAGCTGCTTATGAGTTACCTAAAGGATAGAAATCAAACAGTGCAAATTGAAGATACTTTTAGCTCAATGAAAACTGTAAAGTATGGCGTCCCACAAGGAACGGTCCTCGGTCCATTATTATTCATCGTTTACATCAATGACCTATTTTCCGTAAAAACCAGAGGCGATTTGGCAAGTTTTGCAGATGATACAGCCGGATTTTTCAGTGCGGACACTTGGCCGGAAGTAAAGCAAATAGCTGAAGAAGATTTCAAACAAATACAAAACTGGTTCAATCATAATTCTCTTACAGTAAATATAGATAAGACATATTATTTGCCGTTTTCGTCTTATAAAACAGGGTTGCCTATCAGTGGAAGCTTAATTATTGCGGGTTCTAGAAGTATAAAACAAGTGGAATCGGTTAAATATCTGGGAATTACTATAGACCAACACTTAAGGTGGGATTTGCATGTAAATAACCTTGTAAAAAAACTCAGGTATTTGGTGTCTAGATTTCAATGTTTCAGAAAATATTTTAAGATGTCTGATCTCAAAACTTTGTACTTTGCACTTGTTCAGTCTCACTTGACATATGGCCTCTGCGGGTGGGGTGGCGTTAATGACTTTAATATTTCAAAACTAAATACAATTCAAAAATGGATCCTTAAAGTAATCTTCAACAAAGATAGAAAATATTCCACAGAAAAGCTATTCAATGAAAGCGGACTTTTAAATATCAGGCAGTTAATGTGTGAAAAGGTAGCTTTAAGGATTTTCAAAAATAAAGAACAAATTGAAGTCATGAGTCACCCGCACCAAACAAGAAATGTAGTTAATAAAAAGTCTAAACTTCCAAGAGCCAATAAAACACTAGGCACTAGACATATTGGCTATATTGCTCCTAGATTGTACAACATTATCCCAGATTATGTGAAAGGTGAAAGAAAAATTCAAAAATTTAAAAAGGAATTTAAAAACTGGATTAAAGGTGCAAATGACCTTATTAAAAATATAATCTAAGTGACTTGAAAAAAGTGTTCTGTAGTGATATGATGTGGCAAATATATTCTCGAATGTGACTTAAAAAACTCGAAATTGACGTTATCCTCGATTAAGACATTTTTACCGATCAAGAATTTTCTAACCGATTAAGACTATAAAACTGTGAAGTATTCCTTCACAAACAACCTTCTCACAACAAGTGTGTAACACTTCAAACGTGAGTCTGTTTATTGCCATTTACATGTTTTCATATAGGCAACCTTAAGAGTGCGCTTCTCGATGCTGAAAATATAGATATTTCGCGTTCGCGATTATGCTGTTTTGATAAAAACAGTTGCATCTAGAAAATTCTAACAAAAACTGTTTTCAAGAATGTACTTTTGTGCTTGTTTGACCAGAATTTTTTTTTTGATTTTTCTAATTTTTCATAAAAAAAATTATCAGTAAACTTCCGTTAAATAGGTCAATTTTTACACGTGCATTTTACCATAACAGTGTCTTAAATCAAGAAAAACTCATTGGTAAAGCATAGATCCATTTCTTTTCTTTCTAGCAAAACCAAATTTATTGAAAAAAGATATAAAATTATACCCGAAAAAAGAGAAATAGTGGGTATCTGCAGCGCTTGGAAAGTGCGAATTTATTTAATATTTTTATAGGCTTGATTACCTCTTCGTCTCCAGTGAACTATTAGGGCGGAGATAATATGCCAGGGCCGGCATTCAGGCGTTTGCATTTGAAGCGCTCGGGGCAACAAAGTGCATAAGCCACATTGGAACATTATTGAGGAAAACGACTTGGAAAATTCTAGTCAAATCTGTAAATCGGGTTTGTTTTGCAAAATTGTGATTTTTGGGTCATAGGGTTTCAGTGAGTTGAGTTCTTCCCCGTAAATAAAACAAAATACAAAAAAGTTAATTTTTTTCGAATTTATTGGATTTTTTTTTGCTAAAGTGTGGCATGTGCCTTTCTTATATCAAAATAAAACAACATTTTCTAGATTTCACTAAACTAAAAAAATTAAAGAAGTAGCTCTTAGCTCAACATAAATCTTATAAATTCTTTGGTTACAATAAAAAAATACTAGTACAGGTAATAAATATTAAGCAGCTTTCCGCTAGTCTTCTCCATCCACATCTTCCGCAATATTTTGATCTTCAGTTTCGTCAATGTGCTCTCCAGCACACTGCTCGAAAATAGTAACATAAAAGTTTTGATTGATAGGTGGTATGTATCGCAAAAGTTTTTTTAAGTCTTCAACTTTCTTGCTGTTCAGTTTTACAGGTTCATTGTATTTGCAGTCTAAGTTGTCAAGAATATCGTCTGACTGAAGAACTAACCTATTTCCACGCTTTCCAACATTAACTTTTTTTAAATTTCCATTTAGTTCATGTTTTATAAACATCGTATTGGGTTCACCCGATTCAAATCGGAAGCAGCGTGCTTTTGTGAAATTTACAGGCTCTTTATCTTCAGTTATGTTTTTTTTCACCATAGGAACTTTTTGAAACGATAAGAAATCTTTCTGTTCCATAACAATAACTTCGAATGGATTGGCTCTTTTACTTTTTCTAACGGCTTCGTACCAGTCCTCTGGGCAATAAATTTGTCTCAAATACCTCTTGTGTTTTTCAATTTGGGCGAAATCCCTATCGCAAGGCAAATAGGTATGTCCTGATACCAAAAACCTATGTTCAATACTTTTGAATTTTTTTTCCCTGACAAGTTGTAGCCATAGTGCCATAATTAGCCAGTTTTTGTTCTGGCCTCCACAGTTATCAGTGAAAACAACAAGTTCCCATTGTTCATTTGTTTCTCTAGATGAGAGATACTTCAATAAAATACTTGCTATTTCCTCACTTCCTCTCTTGGCTGTAGCCTCTGTCCACATAAACATGCTTGCTTGTCCAGATATGCAATCGTGAATACCAAGGTTGTAAGTCCAAGCTTTACGCAAGTAGAATGCTGGACCAACTGTAAGACTAGGTGTTGGAAGAGTTTGCTGCAAGTCAAATGCAATAACTAATACTTTTCTATTGGTTTGTTTAACTGATTTTACTTCCTCTTTCATATTATTTGACATGGCTTCTGCTCTCCTATGATGTAACTCAAGCTCAAGTTTCAGTCTGTTAAGGTCTTCTTCATTCTTGTTCGCAGTTGCTGTTTGAATAGCAATTTTCATTGAATCACATGTTAGACACGTATCGCTTTTCGGCAATTTGAAGCCTATGTTATATTCATTGCAAAATATTCTTCGATACTTGTCTTCTTTGACTGGGGTAATATTTTTTTCCCTACACCAGTCAATATAAAAATCCTTTTAAAGTCCAGAGATACTAATGTCATGGTCAAGGTAAACTCTGCTTGGATTTTTCTTTCTGCTATAATGGCTGACATATTTTGGGAACGCGCGTATATGGTCATGAACGGACTGTACTTGTTCAAGTGGTGTTCTATTTGGCCGATTGCTGTGTTTTCCTCTCTTGTCATCTTGTGGAACACTTCGCCCGTCTGAGATCTGATTGCAAATAAGCCTAACGCGCTTAGAAGACTTTTGCAGACCATGACTGGCTAAAAATTCTTGCTTGCACAGCTGTATGTCAATTCCATTTACTTTGACAAAATATTGATAAGTGACTTTTCGAGACGATTCTCTTCTTTTTATTTTCTTTTTATAGGAACGCTTCTTTGGTACAGCTTTTATGGATCCGAACAGGTAAGTGTTTTGGGCCTTGTAGGTACCTAAGTTCCAAAATGAATTGAAAATGTCAGTTTCTTTTCCCAGGAGTCGCTCTCTACACTTCTTCTTGCAGTTACAAGACGGGCCAATTTTCCTATCCAAAACCGTTTTTCCCCTACTACTTTCATACTTGCATCCAAGATTTCGTTTGATTTGGCGCTTTTTTTTCTCCCTCCGTTCTATATTCGTCTTCCGCCATCGAGAAGGATTGCTTTTATCCGGCGTTACCAGAACACCTCGTGATGTTCCAGCTTGTTGTGTTACGTTTTGGACTGGTTCCTCAAAATTTTCATCTGACGACTCTTCTCCAGAGATCTGCAAGAAAATAATGTTTGTTCTAATTTTGGAACCAAAAGGGTCATAAGCCACAATTAAACTCAAAAAGGTCTTAAGCCGCAAAGAGAAATATCCGAAATTTTTCTGGTAAAAATAAATAAATCCCGCAATTTAATAACAAAAATTTAATTAATCAACACTATTTTATCATTTAAGCCCATCTGGAAAACAAATTTTATGAATAAACATTAAAAAAAAAATAGTATTGTTTTTAAGTAGATAATGGCACATGCCCTCCAAAAAATAAACCAAAAAAGTCATAAGCCACAATTTTGTTTACTTACGGATTGTTCAGATTCAAATGGAGATTCAGATCCACTAACAGTTGGACGATAATCTCTATCTGCTATACTATCGTCAGCACTGAAATCACTTTCATTATCACTACTGCTTATATCACTTTCAGATGCATTTCTCTTGAGAGGCCCATGCGGTCCGTCCGCCATGTTGTGGCTTGTGTCGTTGTTGATTGCAAATAACTACATTATTCGGCGTAGGAAACAAAGACTTTTAGGTATAGTGCTGCCATCTATTGATGTTTCTTAAAAATATTTCACAAGTGGCTTGTGACCTTCTTGTAGAATGGAAAAATGAAGTAATCCTAATTATCTGTAATATGTGGCTTATGTCCCTTGTTGCCCCGAGCGCTTCATTTGTTGTTTGCTGTTGTCGAGAATTTATGTAATTTATGTAAAAGAATTAAGTTTGGGCTATTGGTATTATATTGATACCTTGGATATTTTACTTTTTTTTGTTTTTGTTTTTGGCGTTGTTGTGTAGTGAGTGAATAATGGAACCTGACCGTAGAAAAAGCTTTAAATCCAGATTATTTCTGCCCGCAAAGCGTAAAAAGAGGCCAAATAATCTTTTGAAAGCGAGGATATTGCCTGGAAATGTATAAAAGACGCTGCTGAAGAAGAGGCAAACATGGCCATCGAGTGTGGTAACGTAGATGCAAATGGAACTCCCATGATCACAGTCGTATGTGATGGTAGTTGGGCAAAGCGTTCCTACCGAGGCGGGGGAAATTACAATTCATTATCTGGAGTGGCGGCAATGTACGAGAAATGTGGAACTAAACACCCCACGGTTTTTTTTCACAATAATTCTAATATTTTGAAGTGAAAACTTCTTTAGAATCGTTGGGAGTGATTTGAGACTGGATGAAACGAAAAAGCGACCTGAAACGAAAAAGCAACATGAAACGAAAAAGCGACACTTTTTTAACACGCTTATATTAACACACAACAAGAACCTGGAACAAGCCAAGTGAGCGGGAACAAGTCTGTAAAATGTCTGGATAAATCTGGATGAAGTCTGGAAAAGTCTGGAAATATCTGGAAACGTCTGGAAAGAGCCTGGAAATTTCTGGAAAGGGTCGGAAAAATTCTGCCAAAGGTACCAAAAGACCTGGGGATCATTTTCCAGAATCCGGATCAATCTGTACAGGGTGATTCATTAAGAATGGCACTAGGCCATATCTCAAAAACTATCCATCGTAGTCATGTCGGAAAAAAATTATCCCATAAATATGGCCAAGAGAAAATGCTGGAAATATATTTCAGCTTTCTAAAATGACCGTAAGGGGGCGTAACTCAACTGTCAAAGTACAAAAATGGTTTTATTTTTTAAATTTTAAATGGAAACGTATCTCAAAAATGCTAGCAATAGATTTTTGATGAAATTTCACACAATTTTGATTCATGACTTTTTACCATAACTTATCGGATAAGACAGTTATGAGCTGTCAAATATTGCAACTTAAGAACACGAATAACTTCAAAACGACTCAACGAATTGGGTCGATCTTAGGTTCGTTGGAAAGACAAGAGTCTGTTCTTTAATTTTATTGTAAAAAATTCCAACTTCAGTTAGTTGGACTGACTCTATGGGTGGATATTTGAAAACAATTGAATTTTTCTCATTTTTCTTGAAATTTTCAAATGGAACGGTATATTTAAGATATGTTCAATCGATTTTTGAGGATGTTTTACACAGTTTTTCTTTATTAAACCTCCCTACAAACGATTTCCAGAGAGTGTTAATTTTAATTTTATCAAAAATAATCAATATTTATGAAAAAGCCCTCGTAAATAATGACTTTGCTTTTCTGACAGTTGATTGTCATCATTGATGAATGTCAAATAATGAAAAAAGTGCGTTAGGAAATTATAATAGTAACTATATTATGCAATGATCATGTAAATAATGGTAGCCAATAACACACGAGCATGTTGTAGGATACGAAACTTGAAGAAGAAATACATATTTATTTTGAGAATAGTAAACTACTCAAGTGGTGGTGCCATCTATTAATAATTTTGGAAATTAAAATCTAGACCTCATTTCCGCACAAATTCGGCACCCGCGTACTATGGATTTATTCATTTTTCATTCTGCTCTTTCTGTAAATACAAATGGCGTTTCCGATTGGTAGATCTAGTGCGGAACTAGTGCAATTTTTTTTTTTATTTCTGTCTTTTTCTCTTACAGCTGGATCAAAAGGATGCAAATACACTCAGTGCGCACTGAAATTACCAATCGGAAACGCCATAACAGAGATTATCCAAAACCAGTCTATTATTTTTTTTATAAGCATTGGGTCCTATGATTGAACGTTTACGTTAAAATTAACATAAACCTGTTATGTTATGCTAACAGGGAATAGATAACATATAAAATAACAGTGGATGTTATATCGGTATGATTGACGAAATCGATAACAGAAAATGTTAAGCTGGCTGTTAGGAATGGAAGAAAGTATTTGTACCTAGCTTCACTTTCACTTTGGTTTCAAAAGTGACGTTTTTCTTGAAATAACAATAACAAACAATTAAATTACATTTTTTTGCAGCTCATTTTACATTTTATTCATTTATTGGGGCGAAAAGATTATCTAAAATAACTGTAAAACAGTGTGGGGACATTTCCAAATCATATTAATGCCCTGGGTGTTTTCTCGCGTTCACTTTTTTGAAACTGGTTCAAAACAGGTTTGAAATAGTGTATATTCTCGCCATAAACCCATGACGTCACACAAAATTGGTTCAAACTGTTCCGAAATACAATCCAATCCATATTTTTGAACCATTTTCTCGCGCCGAGAAGTTATGAGGTCATTGGGAAACTGTTTCAAACTAGTTTTGAAAAATTTTTCAAAACTTCGAGACGCAAGAAAACCCTTCTGATGAGTGGACATCATTTGTACACGAAAATAAAAGCACTACTAGAACCATTGCCTTACATAAAATGAAAAACAGCTCCAACTACCTATTAGGAATTCAGAATAAACTTTTACAATTTAGACCTTCAGTTCAACTGGAATGGATGAAATCCTTGGTCTTTGAGGAATATTGCTTTATTTTTGCAATTATAAACTGCACCGATTCTTTTAGAACTTTAGTAATAAAACCTTATCAGGAGTTTCAATTGACCTCTGGTATGCCTTCTTTGAGTGTCCAATTCAGTCCTCAAATAGTGAATTAATATTAAAGTTTTGTACCTCATAATTATGATTAACATAAAATAGCAATGAATCTTATAACCTATAGGTACCTACCTCCTATTTGATAATTGATTATCTTCTTGTATTATGTAAATTAATTACCCCGTCATTCAAAATAGGATCTCCAAACAAATAAAAAAACATTGGTAACATGAACGTTAAGCACTTAACGGCATGTTATTCGGGGCTGTTGAGGAGATATGTTAAATTAGAACATAACAGGTGGGAAATAACAGTAATCTGTTATGAAAAACTTTCCATCATACGTTAAAACTCGGCCTAACATGTACGTTACGGATAACGTAAACGCTCAATCAGAGGACCCATTGTCCATTTTCAAAATAATTAGATTTTAGTGGCTGCGATTGCTGCATTTTCATTACTTTCATGCAGAATCTCAAGGATGTCCTGTGCTTCTCCATTTGGGAAATGCATTTTGACTTTAGGAAATAGCGTTTAAAGTTTCAAAAATGTGTCAGCCTGACATACTTAACTGGTATCTGCTCAATTTACGAGGGCTTTTTCATAAATACTGATTATTTTTAATAAAATTAATTTTAACACTTTCTGGAATTCGTTTGTAGGAAGGTATAATAAAGAAACACTATGTAATACATCCTCAAAAATCGATTTAACATATCTTAAATATACCGTTCCATTTGAAAATTTTAAGAAAAATTGGAAACATTCAATTGTTCTCAAATATTGACGCATAGCGTCAGTCCTACTAACCAGAATTTGAATTTTTCACAACAAAGTTAAAGAACAGACTCTTGTGTTTCCAACTAACCTAGTATCGACCAGATTTGTTGAGTCGTTTTGAAGTTATCCGCTTTCTTGTGTTGCAATATTTGACAGCCCATAACTATCTTATCCGATAACTTATGGTAAAAAGTCATGAATCAAAATTGTGTGAAATTTCATCAAAAATCTATTGCTAGCATTTTTGAGATACGTTTCCATTTGAAATTTAATGAATAAAACTATTTTTGTACTTTGACAGTTGGGTTCCGCCCCCTTACGGTCATTTTAGAAAGCTGAAATATATTTCCAGCATTTTCTCTTGGCCATATTTATGGGATAATTTTTTTCCGACAAGACCACGATGAATAGTTTTTGAGATATGGCCGAGTGCCATTCTTAATGAATCACCCTGTACAAGTCTGTATAAGGTCTGGATAAATCTGGATAAAATCTGTAAAATTCTGGATAAGTCTGGAAAAGTCTGGAAAAGTCTGGAAATATCTGGAAACGTCTGGAAAGAGCCTGGAAATTTCTGGAAAGGGTTGGAAAAATTCTGAAAATGGTCCCAGAAGACCTGGGGATCATTTTCCAGAATCCGGATCAGTCTGAACAAGTCTGAATATAATCTGGAATGATCTGGATGAAGTCTGGAAAACTCTGGATAAATCTGGATAATGTCTGGAAATCTCTGGAAAGTCTGGAACATGCCTGGAAATTTCTTGAAAGGGTCGGAAAAATTCTGTAAAAGGTCCCAAAAGACCTGGAGATCATTTTTCAGAATCCGGATCAGTCTGTACAAGTCTAAACTAAAAAACACAATTTTATAGTAAATTGAACTAAAAAGTGAAAAATAATTTTTAATATAAACAGAAAATATTAATGAACAAAAAATATTAGAATAATTATTGTGAAAAAAGCGTGGGGTGCTCAATGTATGAGAAATGTAGAACAAAGCACCCCAGCGTGTATTTTAGTTTTTTTAAACTATTTGCGTTCTTTCTCAAGTCTTTTGGAGGGGGGAAGACGCCACTGTTTATGTTAGTATGTGTGTAATGCATGCAGTTCGATGAAGGTTTCACTTCTACCGGGTGTGAACTGCACATGATTTTTTTTTTTTTCATTAATATTTTCTGTTTATATTAAAAATTATTTTCCACTTTTTAGTTCAATTTACTATAAAAGCGTGTTTTTTAGTTT